TTTATGGTTCTTAGATATTGAATCTGTCAACCTGAGGGACTAGTAATGTTTTCAGATACTCATTTTGCTTTGCTTTCGGAGGACAAACTGATATGTTGAAATAAAAGTTACTCTTAAAGATGTTTTATTAATTTTTAGGTATAAGTCAAGATATTTATGAGGAATTTTAGTCTAATAAATTGGCCATCAAGGTGCAGTCTGAACTGAACTCTAATACACTGGCAGTCAAAATACAGCTTGAAATTTTAGGAATTATTTTTTAGCCCATAGGAGGATAATTGAAGACTGGAATATTTGGAAAAATTAGTGTTTCTATCAGAGCCATTTTCCAAAGTAGTGAGAATTCTAGAATTTCAAAATGTATCTGTCAATTTCACTGTGTTGAATTTTGAGAAGATGCCTTTTTTATAAGGAGAGAATCAAAACGTTTCCCTAGCATGCTGTAGAAGGAATTTTCCTTCTTCATAAGCTTTTGTACTTAAGTTATTAAAGCTTGATCCCAAAGTAGCCTTTCAAAATGATTCTTGAAAGTAGGATCCACATACCTAGAAGAGTAAAAATGTCACTCCGTGGAATTTTTCAAACATTAGGTGATAAGTAACATTGTGAAAAATACGCTGCCTGCACTCTGATAATTCTATCCATCAAGATGGTTCATGATTTCTGTTCCATAATGAAGATTACAGGTAGAGAAACACGTATTTTAATTTGGCAGTGTCTTAAGAATGTCCTGCCTGGCTGTCATGTGTTCAGTTTGATCCATTTATGGTGGCGCATTAGCAAGCTGTTGTTACTTTGCTTTTCTAAAGTAAGGCGTACATCTCTCTCCACCCTTCTTTTCTCTTTCCTTTAACATATGCTATGTGAGAAAGAAAAATGATAACATAGCTGTGAAAAACCTCTACCTTTGCTTTGGCTTCATACAGATACCTTTCTTCCCTTAGTTTTTATGTGCTTAAGCGTCTTGAAGTAACAGGTTAGTGATTGCTTTGGTTTTCTCTGTGAACACAAATGAAATGGGAGACCAGAAGCCAGCATATATTTTCTAACTTTGGTGAAAGGACTATGACTCATCTTATTAAAGGCATACAGGGGATCTTAATTCCGCACAGTAACATATGTTAGTCCCAACTGTTTCTGCATGGATCGTGGTGGTGACAAGCCTTGGGAAAAAATGTTGTAAAAGCATTATTTTCATTCGTAGTCATATGAAACAGAATAGGTCTGGAAACAGATAGTGGCCAATGACATTATGCCATTTCTTAAATTACTAGAACCACTCATGTGTTGGCAGGAATTTACTTTGAGCCTGGAAAGCTTTAGGAATTGAGCCAATTTCCTTCTGTGTAACTAAAAATTAAGCAATAAAGATTATTATTATTTTTTCTTTCTTTGTGATACAAGGAACCCAGGAACTTCACACTAGGCTATACTGCCAATCCTTTTTTGTGATTTTGTTTTGTTTTGTTGTAAAACAGGTTCCCGCTAAGTCACTCAATTCCTCAGGCTGGGTTTAAATGTGACTTCCTCCTGGCTAAAGGTTACTCTTTTGAAAAGTCTTATACGTATCAAATCCTCTTATGATATATTAAGAATCAGGAGAGGTACATTATTGTCTCCTTAATTAAAATAAGACTTAAAGGATTGAAGGTCTTTGAACCAAAAGGCTTCTAAGCGTCTCCTGAGGTATATTTTAAAGGGATAGGTACAGTTAAGACAAGGAAGTACTATCTAGGCTATAGTTTTAGTAATTATTAAATTATTAGAGTGACTTGTTTCTCCAACTGGCACCAGTGGGACTCATTTTAATGCACCAATCTTTTGGTAGAAGTGAGAGAACACTTAGCAAGAAATGGGCCAGCAGCAGGAGAGAACAGAGCTCAAGAATAAATAAAAATAAAAATCGACTTCCAAAAGCTCTTGATGCCAGTGATTTTCCACTCCTTCCTTGAACGTTTTTGATTTTTTTTTTTTTTCCTCAGAAGGATATCAATGGTGGCTACCTGCCACGGAAGAACAATATTCAAATTCTTGTGCCAGCTGCCCTCTTGAAGCTATCTAACAACTAAGAGCCCCTCCGAGTTTTACATTTTGTCCTTATGGCTGTCCTGAGTCTCCCAGAATCCACTGACTGAGGGGTAGCGGGAAGCATTTCCTCAATAGGTGGTCCTGGGTCCGGGAGGCATGGGCTCTTGTGTACAGGGGGCAGGGGCAGGAGGCTCTTGGGTACCAGTGGCCCCTGATTCAATCTGGCCTAAGGATTTGCATCCTGTGGTGCATGTTTAAAGGTCAATTAAAGGACTATAGTGACTTTTGGAGGCCACTTCATGGATTCCAGTCTTTTTTGTCAGCAAAGGGCAAAAAGGATCACTCCCTCTGCTTCTAATTTCACATTTTGAAATGTCTGCATATGTAAAATAGCTCTGATAAGAACACTTCTTCCTGTCTTCTTTCAATGTTCAGTGGTTTGTGGAGTTTGCCATATTCCTTCATGTGTCCCTGTCCTTTATCTAAAGCAGTGACCCTCTGTTGCACTCACCTTGAGACTTAAAAATGCAAATGCCTGGGTCCTTATCCCTGGAGATTAGGAATTCCTAGGCTGGGCACCCAGCCCCAGCATTGGGAGCCTTACATACTCCCAAGGGGTTCTAGTTTACAGTCAAGGTTGAGAAGCACTGATTTAAAAGTTGCACCCATTATTTAAAAAAAAGGAACAGTGTTGAGTTATTTTGATAATTAAACATATTGCTCAATGTTTAAATGTTTATTAAAGATCAATCACATGAAATAACATGAACTTGAATTTCCCATTTTTAAATACAGAGCCTCATAGTGCCTAAAGGGTGTAGAAATGACTACAAATAAAAAACAGTGGGATGGTATAGATGTAGATATCATCAGATAAGATAAAGGTCAGAAAACTGTGAATGCTAATCAAGACTCTTAACTAAACACTTAACTCTGCTTTAGTTGTCTCATCTGTAAATTCAGAAGGTTGAATCAGATAATATCTAAGTACCTTCCAGCCTCTTTCTCTAATTATATGATTAATAGCACTTAATTTCTGAGGGTACTGATTTTTTTTTATACAACCAGATGAAAGAGATATTCAAATTGGCTGGAAAGTATCTAAACCATCTACTATCATTAAGGCCATATCTCCATGATTAGAATTAATCAGGCTGGAGGAAGACAGGGTAATATATTTCTTTTTTTATTTTCTCCTCACTCAGCTCCCTGCTGCTAGATTTATTGCAGTAACTCATTCAATAGGTACTAAAATTCATTATTCACAACTGAAGAGCCAAGTCATTAATTGATTCAAATAAAAATAAAAACACTATATAATTGATATAATTGATTACATAATGAAAGTATAAGTATGAGTCATGCAGAAAGATCACTTCCTTAGGTTGAATTTAATGTGAATGCAAAAATATGTAAGGTAAGATTAAATATTAAACCATAAATTATTACTTTTTAAATGTGTAACTATTTATATAAGTAATAATATATAGATTATACAAGATGTAGACTCCAGGAAAGTACAAAGAACAGGTTGAAACCCATACTCTAAACACTGTACCTTTTTCATAAGTAATATTTTTCCAGTGTTTGTTTTGTTTCTCCATTGTGGGTTTTTAAAAATGAAATTGGAAGCATATTGTGCCTATGATTTTCTGACTTACTATTTAAATGTTATAGTCCATCTTTCAATATTGTAGACATAAAATTAGTATAGTCATAATTATTTTTAATTATTAACCCTCTATATTAGACACATATATCGACCACTGCATTTTGAAGACACAAAGTTGCTGTACATCTAGGAAGGGTTTTTTCAAGGGTTTTTAAAAGATGTATTTGTAATCAAGAAAACCATCTTACTTCATGGGAAGTTAAGAATCTCACATCTAACTAGACTCTGAGCATGCTACTCTTTTGGCTGAGTGACACAGAGGAGATGCTTCTGGAAACTACTTGAGAGAGATTATGGTTTCCTGAACGATCCGCAAATATGCCCACATCCTACTCTGTACTCTTCTCCTATGGACTCCTGCCTATGGCTTCCTTTTCTTTGTTACCAGTCTGCTGAGGCTGGTTTGGCTGTCTCTGCTGCTCCTCTGTCCCCTCAGAGCTGAGCTTCTGCCTGGAGATGCAACTTCTCTTTCACAGGTCCTCACAGCAGCTCATCCCTTGGCCAAGGATGGGTGAGGCGACCATGGCAGCACAATGCCGCCTCTTGACCTTGCATTATAGACACTAGGCTTCCAGCAAAGACCTCACAGCCTAGAATGGGCCCACCTTGATGACAGTAAGGTAGAACTATTATATTAGGGGTAACATACAGTGTTATAACTCTTTTTCCAAAAGATCAGCTAAATGGCCTGTAATTTGACAAGGAATGCTGTCTGTAGGTGTCTTTAAAAGGAAGGTGACTCGTGTGGTTCCTACTGCTCATTAAACTCAAATATCAGGGTAGTTATCCTTGACCAAACACTGGTTCTGTTGTGCAGGGTCAGCGCACTGCCGTCTTCTGTGACCCTCCTCTGCTCTGCACACAGCAGTCTGCAGCTGTGTGCCTATCAAGACGGGTGTCTCCTGCATTCCTGCTGCACTGCAGTTAATTGGCCACAAGGCCTACTGATCTCGTCTGCAAAGATTGAGCATAATTCTTTAAAGAAAGGGTTTTAGTTCTATTTCATACATCTAGGCTAATTTATTGTTATAATTATAGACATATTACTGATTTACTGTGTTTTTAAAGAAGTCTCTGAAAATTCCACAACTTGCTTTTTTTGCTGTTTATTTCTTGTGATAGAAATGTTTTATTCTGCATCACACTTTATTTCTTGAAATAGGTAAACTAGGCTTTCCAAAACACATTGCTGAGTACTACTACACTGAATTAATCTTGAGAAATTTACTACATTTGGTGCAAAACATTTTCTAATCTGACAAACTAACACTTTGGGGTTCTCTTTTTCCTTTGTTTTCAGGGTGCAGGTTGCACAGCCCTGGTGGTAGCTGTAGTGGCAAGAAAGCTAGAACTTACCAAAGCAGAAAAGCACGTGCACAATTTCATGATGGATACTCAGCTGACTAAAAGAGTAAGTTGCCATCCGCGCGTCTTCAAGAGGAAAGCTACAGCATTTCCTTCAGTATTTGGAAATACGGTTTTAATTTTTTTGACATTAGAAGCTGAAATGACATGGTTTGAAAGTTGAGACAGTCTTAGAATCTCAAAATAGGTGATTCTTCACCTTCAGTCTGTTAGGAAATCATTAGATAACCCTGGAATCTGTGTAAAGGTAGCTTACATAGATCTAGACACATAGATGTCCTTCACATTTAAGTGCAGTATGCAAAGAAATAACCAATATCGTATTAAAAGAGCACACTATCCCTGTAAAAGAGAAATTTAATGTGAAGGCAGTTGAAGGAGATTGTACAGAGTTTCTGTGAACAAGTCAGTATTCTAAAGACGGGTTGCAAAGATGAATTTTTTTTAAAAGTTCTAAGTTTTAGAGGCCCAAGTTAGGGGCCTTTCCATGACTTCGAAGCTACCAGAAAACGCCAAAAATGCCATCATATTCAGAACATCACTGTAAGATTATGAAGAGTAAAATGATAATGGTGGTTGATAAGTGTCAAACCAAGCCACGAGGCTGGATAACTTGATCAGAGTCCACATATCAAAGTACAAAGTCAGATAAGAGGAAAAACATTTTTATAAACTAAATTTTTGTCTAGGGATTTAGATCAGCAGCATAAGCGCCTGACTGGCAAGTGCAAGGACACGAATTCGATCCCCAGTACCAAAAAATTAAACTAAATTTTTGCCTTTTTTTTCTTGTGGTAAGGATCTAACCTAGAGTGAGGGCTCTACTACTGAACTACATCCCCAGCTCAATTTCTGTTTTTTTTTTTTAATAGTAGCTTGAAATATCAAAATACTAACTGAAAACTATATCAGTCATTGCAGTCTGCATTAGACTGTCATGGACAGTAACAAAATGCATCATCATTGGATACCTTTACTTATAGAAGAATCAAGCAGAGTTCCAACTTTTAGTGTTTTCACTCACTTTTTGACTTTATATCTGTAAAACAGATCTTGTTTAACTGGGCATAGTAACATATGCCTATTATCCTCAGTACTTGGGAGCCTGGCATTGGGTTGGGGGGATCGAGCAGAAACCCAGAGCAAAGATGTTCTCCCCCCCTCTCTCAAACCAATCTTGTTTAATTTGACAAATGCTTCCTAACAGAGCAGTCCTTTCCATGTCAATATTTACTTGTGCAGATTATAGTCATGAATGGAAGACTCTTAACTCCAGTGGCCTTTCAGTGCTGTCTTGTCTTGCCTACCACACAGTAGATGAGACCTCACTGCCCTGAGAGCACCACATTTGTTCTAGACGCCTGAAGCCTCTCAGGGGCAGATGCCATATTTTATCCTAGAGTTACCACTTTGCAATGTCTTTTTTTTTTCCATAATTTTTTCTTCCAATGCCTCCCATTGCCATCCTCAAAACTGGAACATTTAGAATCGAGAGAGGTAAATAAGCTGGATGGAGGGTTGGGTTTCTTCTCCATTTTAAAGGTCTGAAGGGAATGAAAACATATACATATAAGGCCCTGAGTCCACTCTCATCCCAGAGTTGTAGCACTTGTTTTGGGCATTTCATTTTATCAAAAGAACACCTCTGTAAAGTTGATTGAGTAACCCATGCATTTTTACTAAGATTACATATTCCAAAATTAATGCCACAGATGGGCGTTTAGCTCAGCAGCTCAGCAGTGCTGCCTGGCAAGCACAAGGTTGTGAGTTCAATCCCCACTACCAAAAAAATAAAAAAAATTAATGCCACATTTATGATGATAGGCAGAAAAATAGTCTAACATAGCATGCAGCCCATATCTTTGCCTGGGAATCTTCTTGAAGAAACTGTAACAGAATCACAAATAGGAGATCCAAGGCAGCAGGTATAGACAGATTTCCCTGTGTTTTGTATGCAAATTTTTAGGTTTTAATCTAGCTTTCCTTAAATGCTACTTTAGAATATCGATAGTCCATATCTTAATTTTCCAGAGACATGCCAGGCTCATTTATAATGTACTCACTGTATTTCATAGTCTCTCAAGGTGGCATTAGTGATGTTTTCAGCTAGATAACTATGGTGTGGGACTGTCCTGTGCATTGTAGATGTTTTTTGGCATGATTAGCTTCTATTCACCTAAGTAAATCCACTTGTAATGAAAATAAAATAGGCAAATATTTGGCCACATTAGCCACCAAGACTGTAAGTGTCAAAATAAAAAGCAATGCGTTTCTCCTTCTTCATCTTGTGTTGCCACTAAAGCACATGCATGAGAGGAAGTTAAACACCACAAGGCAACTTTATGCAGTATGTTAGGTCAGTGTTAAAATTTACAGTTTTTAGACATAATATTCCTGGTCTTTAAAGAAAAGTAGAATTAACTAATTTTTTTAAATATCATGAAATAAGAACTTTATGACTAATTCAGATCTTTCAATGATACCTCAAGCTATTTATAGCCTGTTTCCAATGAGCTGGTTCAGGAAATGCATGGGTTGAAAAATTACCTGGCAATATAAAGGCTAATTTTTCTTAAAAGTTATTCTTAAATGAAGTGAATTTATTGCAATTCCTTTCTTCCTTGGAATAATATGTGTTTACTTAACAGAAACACACTGTATACCTAGTACGGCGAGGGTTCTATGTTAACTGCTAAACACGGCTAAAATATACTTTTATGTTCTAGAACTTCAAGAATTTCAATTTACAAGCACCTGCCTTGCAAGCAGGCGGTCGTGAGTTCGATCCTTGGTACCGATAAAAATGAAAAAGACAAAAAAAAAAAAAATTTCAATTTACAGTATTGACGACTCGGCAAATCACAAGAAAGTCCTGATTATCCTACTTGGCAGAAAATTGCACTTGTGTTTTTCATGCTGCTCGTGAGCCCTGAAGCCCCTGCCAGGCACCGCATATAGGATCTGGATCCAGGATCCAGGTCTATAGATCTAGATGACCTTCTTTTAGGTTTTATGAATAGAACTCCTTCTCTAAACTGATGTTACAGTTTTTTCCTTATAAACTTTCGTCTATATAGATAAACTTCCTGTAATTATGCTGCATGGAGAGGAGTTGTAGAAAGCTTTTTTTTTTTTTTCTGTAAAAAGGTCCTATTCTAGTTTGAAAACTCATATTCTGCACAGAGCCCATCTTGCCTTCTCAAATGTGTCACCTCATTATTACTCTTAAAAGTCAGTCTCCTTTGCAATATTTCTTTTAACTTCATTCTTCCCAGCAACCAAAGAAGACTTTCTAATGCCTTTGCTTTTGGCACTGGGGATTGAGTTTGGGGTCATGACACTGAGCTACATCCCAGTCTTTTGTTTTGTTTGTGTTGTTTTGTGAATCAGCGTCTCACTTAGTTGCGCAGACTGGGCTCAAACTTGCTCCTCCTGCATGCAGCACCACATCCGGCTCTGACAGTTTTCATAGGCAACATACTGTTAAGTATCACCATTGAAATGGCACTAGAATAAAATGTAATAAACTTCTAGTTTTTATGATGCTCAATATAATATATGAACTTAATAGCCCTTTTATAGTCCTGCCTTCATTATTTTAAACAGTCATCAACTTAATGAGTATCATTTACTTGAAATTTGAATCTATTTGGTTATTTATAGAAACTCTGAATGGATCAATTTATATTTTTTAAATAAGAATTCTAGAATGCTGAATGATCATTTATGAATGGTTTTTGAGAAATAACCAACAGCAGCTAAGGATGTAAAAGCCATATATATTTACTAAAATGAGAGGTTAAAACACAGTTACTAAGATGAGAGATTGCAAATTAAACATACAATATATTAGAAAAAATAGAAAAAATACAACTATTCCCTAAATACTACATAGAAAAATAATTTCTTCCAGTAGTTAACAGACATTTTGAAATATGAATATGATCCAAAGGGGAAAAACAATATGAACATTAAAGGAATAGGTATTCTCCCAGGAACAAATGTACCCTTTCAAGCTTTCAAGTATGTTTCTTTACTCAATAGAATGATTTCCATGAAAAATTATTCATCATGTACAAGCTTTTAGGGGAACAATTTTATGTACACATTATTTCTCTGTGTGACTACATTAACCAAATAAAACACTATTTTTGAAAGTAAAATATGTATTAAATGTAAACCACATTGCTCATAGTGTACCACCTTTGCAATAGATCATTCTGTGTAATTCTGAAAATTTACGTGACACATCACAATTCAGAATAGGTCAACAGGTGCATGTCTCCAGATTAAAGATTTCGGATGATAGTGTAATGCCTCACCTGAAACCTCATTCAGAGTTGATCACCTTACAGAGCCACTGTGTTCACCGTACTATATCTTTTGGAAGTTATTCTGCGCATTCATGTCTGAGCCAGTTAGTTTGTTTCAGAATATCTTCATGTTGGAAAGAAACTTAAAGCAATTTTGAGGACTCTGACATGATTTTTAAGTTGCTAGATAAATGTGCCTGGAAGGCTAATTATACATGTTAATGCCCACTGAGCATGTTGCAACCTGTTAAGTTTAGCAGGAGGATCCATAATAAGATTGCTATAAGGCACTCCCATCTTATTTCTTCTTGTTTGGTGTGTTTTTTAAAAATAATTTTTATTTATCTTAATCAGTATATGTGTGTGGTTCATAAGGATTGCATTCCTCACGGGGAGTTGGCACAGGTATACTACACATCTTGATTCTTTTTTTTCATCCAGTTCCTCTCTGTTCCCTCAATTTCTAGACCATTTACTCCATGTGCTTTACATCATCTTTTGTCACACAGCCTGATGGGTTACAACACGAAAGGAGCGAAATACTTACCTTTGCCCCTTCCTCAGTCACCGCATCCCCAGGTGCCTGTCTGGACGAAGAGCTTGTAGAGCAGAGCTAATAATCCACACCGTCCAGGTCACAAAAGCAGGCAGCACCCTGTTCTGCTTCCCTTGAATGTGCTAAGAGTGATAGTGTTAAGGGAAAATCCACTGAGAAGAGAGGAGAAAGAAACACAAGGAAAGAAAAGTCAAAATAAGAAGGCTCATTTTCAGAGTAATGCAAAACAACAGCAATGATTTACAGAAAGTTCCTGGGCAATGCATTCATAACCTGTTACGCTAGAGGTCTGTACACAACACGGTTTCAGCCAGTAGACTTCTGTGATTTTAGTTTTTTGGTGGTTTATGAGGTACTGTTATCCCTAAAAATCTGCTTACCTTACCATTTATAGTTTTATTCTCTTATAACTACCTATGAGATAAGAAAGTAACATATCATGACCTTTACTCCCATGAAACTTATTTCAGAGTATCCGGGTAAGTACTTTTACAAATAGTGTGAGTCCTTGTATACCCTTTGCTATCTCAAGTTATTATTAAATACCTGATTTTTAATGTGCCACTTAATATTGTCTAGTAGAAGATTGTGATAAGAGTTGAACATTGGGAATAACATTCTTCTTTTCCTTTTGTTTGGTGTATGTTGGGGTGAGGTACAGGAAGGTCAGTGAAAAGTGAAGATAAAGAAAATAAGGAGAGTGACAGGTAGTATCTTTGAGAACTTTATCTATACTTTCCAGTTCTGGGGGTTAAATTTAGTGTTTCATTCCAAACCAGCACGTTACTGAGCTATCTGCCCAATCCTCTTATTTTTGAAAAATAGAGAAATCCATTATGTACCAGAGAAATTTGGCTTCATTAATTAAGCTCTAAAATATTGTTCCCTCTTGGTTATGATATAGCATATAAAACACATTGGCTATATGTACTTCTTTTTTAAGTGTATCTAGAAATCCCTACATAGCTGTCCTCACACTTAGCAAGTGATAGAGATTCAATACATATGTTGAATTCATATATGGAAATGTTCTCACCCATTTAGGGCCCAGATCTTTTCTTTCAGTCTATATATTCATATGATAAGGGCCCATGGGCTGATAGTATTTCCAGATTAGAAATTTTTATGTATGAATGTCATATGCTATGATGCCCAGTTAACCCCATAGATAATTATTTAGTATCAGCCTGTACTAGGAAGACATGTTGATTAGTGACACAATCCTATCCAGGGAGGCTGAGTATGGAGTCCCCTGGCTACATAATTAAATTGTTACCTGAGGAAATAAAAGAAATTTTCCTTCCAAAGCCAATTCCCTCTCATCTGAATGGTGAAGAAGGTGCAGATCTGCCTCTCTTTCAATCAGTCCTGGGAGTTTGCCTATCACTTTCATGTTCAAATCCCCACTGTCCCAACCTGTAAGATACAAAGGTACTTTTGACCCTGTGAGGTTACTCTCCCTCTGTCTGGTTCCTTTCATCCTCAGAAGGACGAAATGATCCACTACTGGAAACACATTTGAGTAACAGTCAGATGTTTTGTTTTAAATTCTGGCACATACTGTTTTGTGGGTTTCATGTTTAACAGTAGACATTAAATATGATGCTTTCAGGGTTTCATTCCTGTGTTTGAAAAACCTATCTGGGAGTTACAAAATAAATATTTCAAGTAAATCCACATATTTAAAAGGTTTAAAAGGAGCGGTAGGGATTGCATTTTCAGATGGATGATTACTTTAATTTCAGACTGTCAGCTGCAGTGGGTGCTCACTGAATAAAAATGCTACAGTCTGAGGCCTCGAGGACATTGCCCGCCCGACTCTGAGATCCCTAGTCCCCATTCTCCACTGTCACAAGAGAAAGAAACCAATAAATTGAAACATATCAAAGATAAGCAATCACCTTTTTAAAAGTTTATAGACTTTTGAAGTACTTTGGAATTTAATATGTAGATAGAAATCCAACCAAATTCAACTACTGTTCAATTTCCTGTCTTGTCAGTTTTTACCCAGATTTTTGCCTGTTTCTCCAGCTTCTTGGCCAGTCGTGGATCTAGGTTCCTCCTCTGTACCTCTAATGCATAACATTAGGCAGAGAGAATCTACCAGGGCTCCTTGCTAATCCTGCAGACTTCTACAGAGAGATACAAGCTTCTGGATTCTTAGCAGGGAAAGGTCATGCTGGCCCCAAGTAATGATGGCTACTGTTCCCATTCCTTGATCTGTAAAGAAGGGGTCTTGAAACTTCAAGGATGCACACTGCACCCATTTCTTTACCTGTGAAAAGATGCGATGAGGAGGAAGGTCTTCCTCACTGTGGTCTGAGGAAGGTGTTTCCATAGCATAAAGATCAGGCCAATAAGTTACTCAGAGTTCCTTTAACTTACCCTGGAGGGTGGTGGTGGTACTTTTTTGCACTGCTGGAGTCAGCATCTGTGTATCACTTTTCTACTGGCTAGAGAAGACAATTCATGCACAGTCCAATAGACATCCAGAGGCAGTGCATTATGAACTAGTTACTCCTAAAAACAGTTTGATTCATAAGAAACCAATTATTTTCTTAAAATAGATTTTAGCAATACGATTACACTCAACTTTTCAGGACTGTTAGTCACCAAACCTAAAGTTTTCTTTGCAAAAGTGAAAAAAATGTAAACACAATTTTGGTGCCATAGTTTTATTATAATTTTGATACTCTTATTTAAATCAAAGGAATGAGAGGACATTAGTAATCACTGTTTCTAAGTTTCTCATGTTAGAGAAAACACAAGTCCTAAGAGATTAGCTAGTTACCTTAAATTAAATTGGTTAGTACAGAATCAAGAATTCAGATTGCATTTCTCAATCTCAGCTTGTATTTCAGTCTTCCCCACTACATTCCCTGCTCTAGGTGATCTTTTCTTAGCATTCCACTGGACTATGGCTCTCTTTGAGTATCTCTATCACTCAGAGCAATTAAGTAGATGGACTTTGTAAAATATGTGATTAGTAGTAGGTCCAGGTGAAAAGCTCTGGGCCACTGGACTCTGCATTGTGAGCAAGAACGAGGATAAAATCTGTCCTTGAGTAGGCCTTTCTCACTTTCAGAATTTTTGCAAACTTTAATCAAGAAAGCCAGTGACTGTGGGGCTGGGGATTTAGGTCAGCGGCATAAGCGCCTGCCTTGCAAGCAGTCAGTCGTGAGTTCGATCCCCAGTACCAATAAAAAGGAAAAAGATTAAAAAAAAAAAAACAAAAACCCCAGTGACTAGGTAACAGTCAAGCCTCTGTCCGCTGCAGGAGGTCTCGATAGTGTTACTGTAATGCTGTTAATCCTTTCCATTTGTCCCCTCCATTTGAAATGTTGCATATTGAAATTTCCTACAAAATCTGAGTAACAAAAAATCTTTGTCAACTAATTAAAGTATGCAAACAAGCATACAAACTGCTAAGTCACTGCTAGAGGCCATAAGCACTGGCACTATTCAGCCAGTAAGCAGTGGAAATGTGCCCTTACTATAGAGCACAGCCAGAAACACCCAGCAAACTTCCGAAAGATAAAGATTAACCTTGGCCTTCTCCAGAGAAATGAAGAATGTGCAGAGAAGAGTTGCCACACAAGTTGGAAACCCCAGCACATCTGAATGAATGAATAAATAGAAAGAGAGAGAGGGAGAGCCGGAGAGGGAAGGAGGGAGGGAGGGAAGGTGGGTGGGAGAGAGTATTGAATAAAAAAGAACTTTCCTGTTGGAGTAGGTAGAATTTAGTACAGAATGAGGTCAGCAGTACTATTTCCCTGTTAGCTCAATTTAAGTGTTTGCAGACAGCTACTGCTAATAAAGAATCATATTCAAGAAAAATATTCCTTTAGCTCCTCATTAGAGCTAAAGTTTACTGTAATCCTTGGGATGAAGAATATTATCTCCAGCAAAGTTGTAAAGGATTCTGCTGTGAAGTTTATCAAATGTTATTTATGTTTGTTTGTTTTCTAAACAGGTGAAAAATGCAGCTGCCAATGTACTCAGGGAAACATGGCTAATTTACAAAAATACAAAGCTAGTAAAAAAGATAGATCATGCAAAAGTAAGAAAACATCAGCGAAAATTCTTACAAGCTATTCATCAGTAAGTACCGGTTTTCATTTGCATCCTGCTTTTTTAAACCTTGACTTTCCAATCCTACATTTTGAAGTTGTCCTTTCATGAGGGAGAAAAAAAAATATTTCCAGAAGACATTCTCTGGCAACTTTATAATGTCATCAATGAAATCCTGAGAAAGTTGTAGTTTTTATGATTAAAAAGCATTTAATAGAATATTCATGTATTAAAGTATTTCCTCAGTTTCTGTCAATACTTTATTAAAATTGTATTTCTTAATATATAAATAAGTTTGCTGTAGCTTGTTTAGTTGGTATTTAGTTTTTGTACTTCAATATCTCAAAAACATATTAACATGATTTGATCCATCAAGATTTTTTCCTAAACTGTTAAACATCCTTACATGACTATATAAGTGTATATAACTGTCTTAACAGAATATTCAGTGAGTTCTTAATCAGAAACTTTGGGATGTCTTTATGTTACATGCTCATTATAAATTTTACAATTCATCCTCTGGTCTTTTGTCATTATTCTGACTTTCTCCACATCATCATTATTTAATTTAAATTCTTCATGCCATTTCTTTGTTTATATAACTATAATAGATTTTTAACATAAAAACCTCTTACCTCATAAAAGTAATAATTTAGAAACAAAGGGTCTTTTTCCTCCAGGCTGGTAGCACTTGCGCAGTAAGTACTCCTCAAGTGGGTATTAACTGTGATGTCCTGTAGACTTGCTTTTAACTTAATGTCATTTCTATATGGGGAAGAGCACATGATGGCTCAAAAAAAGTGGCTTTCCTCATGAAACTAGCAGAGTAATAAAGGAAAGATGGGTAAAGACTAAATCTTTAGCTATGAATGATATTTGCCTTTCCAGGGCCAGCTAGCACAACAGACTAGAAAACTGTGAGCCTGGAATTTTTATTTTGATATTTAAGTAATTATATGCAAGATAATACCACTAACATTCTATAAAGAATCATTAAGCTTTTATCTTCTACTTTTTCACCTGTCCATCCAGCTGCCCTGCTTAAATTGGTATCTCCATAAAGCAGAATATGCCTATAGTTATATGCCTATTTTTGTTAAATGGTTACCTTCTATAATGAAAAGAAAGCCCAAGAATTTTGAGATTTAAAGTTTAGGGAGTCTGTGCACATGTCATAGACTATCAGGTTCTCATACCTGCTCGTGACTCATTACAAAGCTCCTTTATTGCCACCCACACACGTTCCTAAGATCTCCTTCAGCCCTGTGACTTGACTAGACACACACAGTAACCTTTTTCTCCCTTACAAGGAGGATAGCGCTAGAATACTACTCTTCTAAGGTCAGAGAGAAGCAGTGTGAGCATCTGCTTCTTGCAGCTCAGTGACTTTCTAACCCAGGGCCCCCACCTGGAACTCTTGCCTAGACTCCTTGCTTCTGGAAATGCAGACCTAACACGAGAGCCCCCAAAGAGTTGCTGAGCACCCTCTGTGTGCCTCAGTCCTGTCCTTACAGGCCTCTTTCCCTTGCTGTCCCTGACATGGCTCTCCTAAAGCCATACAGCATTTGAACAATTCAGTGCATGTAATCCCATTGTCAAAACCATGGCATACCAGAAAGAAAGCATTTCTTTACACTTTTGATACTAACCTATTTTAAGTATATTAGAAAGAACTCTTACCTTGGGTATGAGAAAGATGTGTGTCCCCAGGTGAAGTTTCAGAGACGCTATGACAGTGAGCTCATGTGTTTGGCACCACTCATGCCCTTTCCTCCAGGATTTTGTTTGCTACCAGTGTAATCTGTTAAATATATAATGACATGCAATTTGCCTTTTCATGTATTTGATACCTTTTCAAATAACAACAAACCCCAAACATGCCAAGACACTATTTGCAATACAGCTCCACAGCCATGTGTAAATTGTGTGTATTTATTGTCTCATCATAGGCTTCAAATTGTGAGTAAGCTGCCATTTCAAAAAAACAAAAAAGCTTGGGGGGGAGTGTTATGGTATTCAGTATAAAAGTCTTTCAGATGTACTGCGTAAGTATGAAAAAATGTTTACCATAAGATATTAGAAAAGTCTCCTGGGAAGTGAATTTTCAGAACTGTCCCAAAGGCAGTGTACCCTGCAAGGCACAGTGATGCACTCACAGGACACGTGGAGACGCCTCTGCAGAGCGCTTTAGAAACCCACCTGTGGCCAGGGAAAGCCATCTGTGATTCTTCTGCTTCTGTTTCTTCTTAGCAGTGTGCACATCTAAAGTAGATGAGCTCCAAGCAACTCCTGTGTGCTCTGAATTGTTTTGTAAATTAGTCTTGTGCTTACTAGGTTTCCTTTGATGCTGGGGAACTTTCATACTTTGTGAAAAAGTAAAAACGAGTAAGCTAAGTAAGTTCATTTGTGTGGGCTGGGTTTGGTTAGATGCTTGAATCCCGTGAGTCACCTTTGGTTTTAATCCAGTGTTGGATGTGGGGAGTGAAGTCACAGCGGAAAGCACACAGGGCTCGATTCCTCAGGCCAAGCCCTTCGTCGCCCCTCTCTCACATCCAGTGAGAACTCAGCCTCATCTGTCAGCACTAGGTGAAATCAGACTTGAAGAAAAAAATTATAAACATTTGACCAAGCCATCCTGGCAGCTCCTAGTCTCTAATGTGCCCTAAGAGCTTTGTCAGCAGCGCTCTGCCCTTCAGCCAGCTCCCTTCACACTGAGCTCTTTCTGTCTTCCAAATTCACTCCCAGGATGTGAATTTCCTGGGCTCCGGTGGATGCTGAATTCTGCGGGCTAATGTCCTCTTTTCAGTCATGCATCTATCTTTTTGAATGGTCACTTAGTGACATGAAGTGATCTCTTTCTCTGCCATTCAACCCTTTTTCTGGTAGCAGCTTTAACTTTAAAGTGTATCATTCTTCTGTCTCAGCTGTGGACCCATTCATCCCCATGAGCTTGTCTCAAAGCCAAGGAATCCAATGTACATAATGTGTATAACAGAGGACTGCTTAATAATCTCAACTTGTAAAGTATGTACCCCACCCAACCTCCATAAAAAACATTGTGATACAATTGTTTAGAACACTGTCCTTTTAACCATATGCTAGGCAAAAATGTTGCCTGTTGCTTACTTGAATGTTCTTCTTTCTAAACTCTTAATCTAGTACAAGAGGAAGCCAAGTGCTTTCAGGTGGGCAGAGCATGGTAGCAATGAAGAAAGATGGTGGATAATGTAAATACTGTTTCTCTTTGGCCGATCTATCCAAATCCTGCAGAATCCTAACAGGATCTTCCAGCTAATGAATCGAGCCCCCTGTGCACACCTGAACACTACATTGTATTATTCTGTTCCAGAATATTTTACAGTTTCTTTTCTTTTGTTTTGTCTTTTTATTTTCAACAAAATGAAAATAGAGCTCGGAAGTAAGTCGTGTGAGCCGCTCCTTTCAACATTTGCAGAATTTTCTACTGGCTGCATGTACCCAGCAGATCTTTTATTTGTGAATTTTGGTAGTCTGCTGCTATGAAAATGTGATCCAAAATCATGATATTTTCCTGTGATAAGTGAAGTTCACAAGGAAGAAATCAACATATGTTTCTTATTCTTCTTTTTGTGGGGCAAAACGTGTATTACACACCTGCACATTACCTTTTATTCCGGCAGCTGCAGCTTAAGCAGACTGTTGCTTGATGGCCTACATTCTAGGCAGTATAAGAAGCAGACAAGATAAGATGATGATAGAGAATTCCAGTCAAACAGGGCTACCAATGTCAGCTTTCCACATTAGTAAAAGAAAAAATGGGCAAAATTCTACTGTCAGACGTAACTTAGTAATCCAAGAAAAGTAAAGTAGACCCTGTTGTTTTAAGATGAAGCATTCACTTCATATAGAGTCACCATCACCTTTCCATCTGCTTTGCAGAGCTCAAGATTTCTCTGTATCCCAGATTACTGGCGGGATTACTCCAGCACCTCAAACTCCACCATTCTCTTGCCACCTGTGCTATCCCTTACATTTTTCTTTAAAAAAACAAAACTTGCTATCAATCTCTATCAGGACCGGGTTTATAGTTTAGTGATACAAAAGTTGCCTCGTAATATGTGAGGCCTGGCTTCAATCCCTAGCACCATATACACGGAAACCTATCTTAAAAATAATAGATATTAAAGAACAGCAAAACAAAGGCATCATCAATTGGCAGCTGAAATGGTTGTACTGAATTCCAGCCATACCTAGAGTGCTGTAGCCCATTGAAAGTTCTGTGCTGAGATCTTCCCCTCTGCTCTTTAAAAATGGAGACTAGTATATGTGTTGGGAGACACAGATAAGTTAGGTCCAGACTGAGACATTTTTCTTGCAAAAATCAAGATGTAGAAGAGAATTCAAAGAGGAACCATCTCTGTTTGGAGTATTACTTAATGCCTTACGTGAGCGTCACTTAGAGTCATCTAAACTCACACTGAGTGTGTTGGTACACACTCAGCACTCCTGAGACACCCTTCACCTGTGGAAAGCTCGACAAATGAGAACTGGTATAAATGAAGCTCCTACCTGATGTGACCCTTTCTCTAATACACAGCTCTGTAAAACCCACAGGTGTTTGGTTTTTTGCTTGTTTTTAAGAAGTAGACATTAAGCACTGTAACCCTAGTAGGTGCCTAAAGAAACAGTTTTCAACAATATGATGGATTTAAATACATGTTTACGAATTTCTTTTAGACTAGAGCTTACCCATCTCCACAGCAGCAGAAAAAAATGAGCTGGTTAACTTCATTCCAAGTATTCGAATAAACACATAATCACAAGGAGTTATAAATTAAAACTGTTTTAGATTGTTAAGATCATGTTGTAGGTAGGTGTCAGTTAAACCCATACTGACAGAAGGAATTGTATCTTCGCTGCAGAGCAGATTTGGTGACATACTGGAATCCTACTTGCAGAATGAAATCACTGAGCATCATGAACATGTGTTACAAAATTGTCCCTGGCAGTAAAATCTTGCCCAGTGAGTTTTTAGTCCTGTATATAATTACTTATAATTTAAATTGAAAAACAATAAGATAGTTTCTTCAGCATTGCAACAACAACAACAATTTGTAAAGTGATTTATCAAGGCAAAATAAAGTTAATGTGGATTTTTCCCCTCCTTTTTTTCATGTAAGTAGCTTAGAAGAACTGATTTCTCTTTTGAAGCAAGGCTTTAAATTTTGGCTTAAAGAATGATAAACCACTTTTTTTTCCTGGAATATTCTTAAGATCTTGAATATAAAAAGCACTGAATAATAAATATTTTTTGGAATAATAAAATAAGTCAAGGAATAGTAAAAGATTGCTTTTTTAAGCAATAGCTTGTTGGTGGTCAGTCAGGTGTATACAATGATATTTAAAGTAGCTAAAAGTAACCGTACATCCAGACAGTCTATCCATCAAATACTTTAGTAGTTTTCCAACTTTTATCTACAATAAAAATTGAGAGAGTCTCCCAAAGAATAGTCTGGCTTCCCTTCAAATTCAATAACAGTATAAAAGTCAAGTGAATACTATGAAGAATAAGAGAATTATGTGTTTTGAGTGATCTTGCTGCTGGTTGAATAAAAGTTTCGCTTTTGTTAACAAGAATCTCACTTATCACTGTGTTTTCATCAGGTTCAAATACCTAACCCAATTCATTTCAGACTAAACAGGGTGAACACCTGTATCTAGTCACGTAGGCATAGGAAGGTGCTCATTGCTCTCAGCATCGATGAAATCCCTTTCGCTTTGCATATGTCTTCCTATGTCTATTTGTCATGATACTGGAGCTTTTAAGGAATGTTTTGGCTTTTTCTCATACGGCTAAGTCCTTATGAGCCTTTTTGAATTCAACTGACCTGGTAAACAGTTGTCCTAAGGACATCTCATCTCTTGCTGTCTCCCCTTTCTTTTTTGCGGTGTTGGGGAAGCATGCTTCTCATCGTACAAGATACATAACTAGTATGGAATTTACTCCTGATATTTAAGGCATTATCCATGCAGTTATTTGCCCTTGTCAATTTTGTGCATGCTCTTTGGAAAGCATAAGGTAGCCAAAGAAAGAGGAGAACTTTTGTGACTTCAGATTCTGTCTTTTAGATTACGAAGTGTAAAAATGGAGCAGAGGAAGCTGAATGACCAAGCAAATACCTTGGTGGATCTGGCAAAGGTAAGTTGGAGGTGCCCACCCCTCCTGGCCACGTGTTTTAGGATTGCCACTACTAGTGCTTCAAGACGCCCACCCCTAATTTAATTATCAAGCCAAAAAAACCACCCTAAAAATGATGTTCTTACTTAAAACTGTTTTAAAAGCTGTTATTTAATATCTTCTTCCTTCATATACATTCTTCAATCCCTGTCCCATCCTCAGAGCTTCCCTAATTGCAGTGAGTTGGAATTGGAATTGCTATAAAAAACATGAGTGAATTGAGACATTATCTTTGGGATTCTGAAGTCTCATCCTTTGAGAATACAGTTGGTTCTTTGACGTGACTATGAGTTTCAAGGCTAAATAGAACTCACTTTGTTACATATTTTAAGCAAAATCAGAAGAATGTAAGGTTGAATTTTCTTGAAAGACTCCAGTAATTAGATCCTACAATAAAGGTGGTTCCCTTCCCCACCAAAATTAAACACTGTGTGGTTAGTTTTTCTTTCAGACTATGTTTTGGTACACTAACCATCTCCTCGTTTTCCTACCATATTTATAAGATTCATCTGATTTTTGATTGTACCTCCCCAATAAAATGCATTTTCAACATATAAATATTTAATCAACAAAGCATTGCATCCTATTGAGCTAATTCTAAAATAACATGCCTGTAAATGCACAGCCTTTTAACATCAATGCTCTGAAAGGCTGCTCTCAGTTGGGATCCATGTATCCTGTTTTCTATGTTCCTTTCTGTAGCTTGTCTTAATCTGTAAAAATTATGCTTTCGACCTAGTCTCATTAAATAAAACATCTATATTACATCCATTTTGATGTATGTCTCTCACACATACTATATAAAGACATTGGCAGTAAATATTTAAAGAATCACCTGAGAGCATATGTGTATGAAGTATACAAGTATTCTCAATTAAGATGACTTTCACCCAAGGCAGGCTCATCATTCCTGAGTTCAACTGAGCAAAGAAATAGAGTATTTTTTATCAAAATAAATAAATAAATAAAACAGACTATCTAGAAACATAATTTAGATCAGTAATTTTACTTCAAAGGTGTAAGTAGGAGGCAAGAAGGTATTTCCAGTTAGTGTCATGCTTATTATGACCACAGGCTTGTACTGCACTAAACTTTAGTATTTTTTTGAATGCATGGGTATTGACCACATATTTAAAGGGTTTATAGTAAAATTAATGTTCGGGTACTATCTCCCTGGCCCAACTGAAACAAGGCGCTCTGTTCTGAATAGTCAATTCCCTCATGCAGTCAGTTCATTTATTGTTGCTGAGAGGGTGTTAAGCAGGATGAGAGCATGCACCCTAAGGAGAAATGAAGAAGGCAAGTGGAGACAGAGAGCCTGGGATTCCAGAAAGGCTGTGCTGGGCGATGTGGCGCATTTCTGTACTCTGGGCCACCACCCTTCATTCTGGCTGATCAGCCCTAAACCCCCTGACTCTGTCTCTTGGCTACTTCAGGAAATATGACTGGAATTCGTACTTATGAATACCGCGTGATCAAGTCAGTCGGTTTCAGGGTTCAGTAGGATACCAAAGACATCTTATTTCAGAACACATAGTCCCAACGAGGTGGACTGGCAACTTTTCTTCCCAATTTTTATTCTCAATGGAACTTTTGATTTATTTTACAGTTTATCTGTAAAAATTCTATTTGATCCAATGCAAAGTGATAGAATTCAAAGCAAAAGAAATATAAGATATTTAAGAATGTGTTGCTTTACATTACTTGATCAAATCAATTAATCTTCACTCCTGTTCCAATCCCAATTTTTTGTTCCAGTACAATGCAGTCTATACCTTTGTTGTTCCTTAAATCTGCTTTCTTTTTAAAACTGACCTTGCCCTAATATTACATGTTGCAAAATGAATTTGATGTGCTAATTTTTCTAACCATTAACACACATGAATGTTAAATTGAAACATTTTCATCTGTCATTACACAGTCTAACATATTTCTAGTAATAACTGTACCACATTTTCTGAAACTTAATCAAATTAATGCCTAACCTACCTTTCTGAATCCTGGCATTGCATAGACATTGAATTTGCTTTGTACAGTAAAGTGTTCAGTTAGCGATGCCCCTGTTACCTGCGTATCACCACCAATAAATCAGTGCTAAAGTTCTAAGAGGCGCTATGGCAGGTGTAATTAAGCCTCTTAGTTCTGTTTTCACATTTTCTCAATCCTGTGTTCCAGACCCAGAACATCATGTATGACATGATTTCCGACTTAAACGAAAGGAGTGAAGACTTCGAGAAGCGGATTGTTACCTTAGAAACAAAATTAGAGACTTTGATTGGTAGCATCCACGCCCTCCCTGGGCTCATAAGCCAGACCATCCGACAGCAGCAGAGAGATTTCATTGAAGCTCAGATGGAGAACTATGACAAACACGTCACCTACAACGCTGAGCGGTCCCGGTCCTCATCCAGGAGGCGACGGTCCTCCTCTACAGCGCCACCAACTTCATCAGAGAGTAGCTAGAAGAGAATAAGTTAACCACAAAATAAGACTTTTTGCCATCATATGGTCAATATTTTAGCTTTTATTGTAAAGCCCCTATGGTTCTAATCAGCGTTATCCGGGTTCTGATGTCAGAATCCTGGGAACCTGAACACTAAGTTTTAGGCCAAAATGAGTGAAAACTCTTTTTTTTTTCTTTCAGATGCACAGGGAATGCACCTATTATTGCTATATAGATTGTTCCTCCTGTAATTTCACTAACTTTTTATTCATGCACTTCAAACAAACTTTACTACTACATTATATGATATATAATAAAAAAGTTAATTTCTGCACATACTTGTTCGGTCACTTGACATTTCTAAAATTTCACTTCTAATTTTCTTTTTTCAAGATAAAATGACCATCATCTGATGCATGCTGATCATTTGTTTTTTTGTTTTTTGGGGTTTTGTTTTGGGCCAGGGATTGACCATGAGGTCACAGTTGCAAGGCAAGCACTTATACCTCTGAGCGCTAAATCCCAGACCCCTTATGCTGATTATTTTGATTTGTAAAAGTTATGCTAGCTTGAAAAGAAGACTTTCTTTCCATTCCCTATTCAGAAGATTTTTCCCTCATTATGGATATATCAGCATCATGGTCACTCGACATAGCCCAACTTACTATTCTTTTTGAATTTATCATTGTCACCCTTTAAATACAGCTTGTCTCCTAAAAATGTGGAAAATTAGATTAATTCGAGCTTACACACACAAGGAACACTGATGCTTTCAGGAATTATTTTACTCCTAGTTTACCAGCAAGTTTACACAAAGAAAGTACTGGGGACCTCACTGTCTGTGAATACATGTTCCACAATTTTACTTCCAAACAGGTGATTTTATATCTCTCCATGTGTTCACTTATGTAGAGCTCAGACGCATGCTTTTTGGGACATATATACGTTTGCATAGCTCAGCAGGGTAAGACTATATGTGCCTAACTCAACACATTTCCTAGCATATGGTCCCCTCATGGTCTGTACTAACATTTTTAATACAAGTAAATGGCTTTTTGTAGATTTCACAGCTTTTTCATACTTGTTTCATGGGTGCTTATATTTGGTCTGTATAAAAGAGAACCTAGTAGTTATGATTCTTGTGAATTAACTATAAGAATCCAGTGGGTTAGGAAAACCATATTAAAGTGACAGCCACATGAATTCTTTCACATGGCATTCCCAGAATCTGCAGGAAGATCTGGCCTGCAGAAGCAGGATCAGGCATCATACATTGGAACTGGCTCAACTCTAAGAGCAAATTCTTTGGATTGTTCTAAACTTGGAAAGTGTTTCTTCACATTCAGAAAATCCATTTAAAAGGCTTATGCACTTTCATTCAATCCCTTTGGTATTAACTTTAAAACAATGCAAGTTGCTACCATTATTATCAAATATTTTCTTCTTTGGCACAAACTAGAATGTTTTATTTGCTCTCTTTTCATTGTTCAGTGTAGAAAACTTTCACATGTGTTCTCTCTAAGTGACATACAAATCAAGCATTTCCTGTCAAGATCAAGGCTACAAGGTACAATTGCTTTGGGTTGCTCCCCACTTACTGACTATCCAGTGTGACTAAACCTCACGATTATTCACAAATTCTGCATATATCTGTGCTGGTGCTGGATGAGGACAAGCCTGCAAAGCTTTCTGGCAATACATAAAAGTAAAACAACATGAATTTGTATAGATACATATTGCTGAGTTAAATGCATGTCAAGAACCTGCTTCATCAGAATTTTTTTGATGAAATTAAAATTTTATATATTTTGACTTACATTCAAGACTTATGCAGATACATAAGTTTGGTGTAAACAGTCAATGTAAGGGAGAGAGAAATTTTGAATTTTTCTTCTAATCAGTTAAGTTTTGTATATTCTACCTCTGTTGTGACTAAAAGGTAAAGGAGAGGTAATTAAGCTTAGTTACCATCTTACTGATCAATTAGCACTGTTACCCCAGAACACTAAGCGTCCAGGGAAAGAATGTATTATTCCTCTATTGTAATTTAATTCACTAGTATATTTTTAAATTTTTATTAGTATATATTTTCAGTACATATTGATTACATTCACCAGGTGGAGTTGGCATATATAACATTTAATTATATTCCCTTCCCTTGGCCAATAATTTGGTTTGCCAACAGAAGCATTATGCAAAATTTTCCTTCTGTCTGCAAACTCCCCACCAAGTGACCAACGCTACCAGTCATCTTCCCCAAAACTGAGGAAGAAATTAAGTTCCTGAGCACAGAAACCACTATTGCATCTATTCTCTTAACTATAGCTCCTTAGAATAAGTTGTTCTTTTATCCATCAAACTTAATCCTATTTTTCCAGTTTCTCTATGCACAGTACCTAAAGCCTAGTACATACACCTTTTGTTTCTGTCCTTTCTTAAACCGCCAATAAGCCCCATTTGAGGAGGGGCCCCATCTATTACAGACTTTCTAGGCAGTGGTGTGCTGAATAAACTCCACTTAACACAGCACAGTATTACAAAGTCCTGAAAGTAGGCAGAGTCCTCTCGGGGCTGCTTGAAGACTATTCTTGTGGTGATATATGCCACTTTCTTATTTGTACTTTGTTTTCCAGATTATGCAGTAATAACTGAGTCCTGTCTGTGTCATCTCAGCCTGCCACCCCCTGCCACCCTGCCTGTTTCTCTGTAGCCAGAAGAAAGGATGTAACTTCTGCAATTCATGTACATTAAATGCCACCACCTTCCTCCATTTTCATTTCTCTATTTAGTCATAGTGTCTTGGACCAGCCACCAGAAAGAAGAACCCATGCTTTTAAAGAAATAAGAATAAGTCAAATGGGAAACAGATACCAAGTTATGGAAATTTCATGTGTTTTTCTCCCCTAAATTCTGCTCTTTTTGTGACTGCCCTCCAAAAAAAAAAAAAATCCACTGAAGTATCTGCAATAATCAGATTATTACATTTCTCAACAGTCTGGTAACTGAAAGAAAAAAATTATTTCTTAGACTTACTGTAAACCTCAAGGGATAGGTTTAAATGCGACATCCCTCTTTGCACTTGAATTTTGTCCCTTCTTGGGAAGCAACATCACAGAGTAGAGCGTGAGACATCAGTTTGGAGCTGAACTCTGCCACTCATTAGCTCCATGCACTTGCACAATATTAATCTTTTTGAGCCTCTCACAGTCCCCTTATCTATAGAACAAGTATCAAAGGACCCAGATATCGGCAGTGCTCTGCAAAGCCTGACATCCTCCTTCCTCATCAAATGATGGTACTTTTCATTACTATTTTCAGCTTAAGGCAGCAAACATTAAACACCTACGTTATCTGCCTACTTTCTTACAACTTTTAACACCTGGAAACAGAACTTATAAATTACTTTCCTCATTTGTCTATTTTATTCTCAAAACAAGTTACTGGACTCTAGTCCATTCACTTCCTGATCCGATCACTGGTGAAATTTAATTTGCATATCAAAAGGTACATGTTGCTTTGTCTCTGTAATTTTCAAGTACTCCAATCTGCTTATAAATATGATTTAGAAATGTGGAGGGCAGAGTAACATTAGAAAGGTTACCTAAGAATTGAACTAAAGGAATCAATCTCTTTTTCCATGCCTGTAGGTCCTGATCTTCAATCTTTTAAGTAGGTACAGGAGCACTGATGTGATTAGTGTGTTTTAGCTCAATTGTCAAGAGTGAATCCACTAACAGTATTGAACAGACGGTTTGACAAATAAAACCAGAGCACGTACTGTCACCCTGGAGGGAGAAGTAGGTGATGAGGACCTTCTCTCTACACTGCTGTCACTCCTGCTGAGTTCCTGATGGACATAGAATAACTGTTTGTTGGCCGATGGGTGCAGCGGTGTGGTCTGTCAAAGGGTACTGTCTACTATTGCAGTTACATATGTTGTGAGCCAGTAAACCCCAAAATAGAAAACACAGTTTGTAGTCTTACAGCCATTGTCCATTTCAATTTAGAAAAATACTTAGAGTTGCCTCTGCCTAATATTTGTGCTCTCCAGATGGTAATGTGAGTGTGGACATAGGAAATACTACCCAGGTGACCAGAAATGACTGAGGGTGTTTTGTGGCAGTGTCAGCACTAACGGTGTGGATGGTTGCTCATTGTAGAGTCTGGCAAAAATCTGAGTGTGAAGGAGGCAGTGGTGAGCAGGCTGTACCTGACAGAAAGCTGAGCAAAAGGATGGAGGGATACCTTCTCTCTTAGAAAACTGCTCCTCCTCAGAGAGGTACCTTACTACTATAACCCGGATCTGTTGGAGACACATTTTATTTAGTCCTTTAATCCTTTCCCTATCTAAAAAGTTCCGTGTATTCTCATTTCACAGATAACAACCCTGAAGTTGGTATTCAGTTCTTTCTTAAATGTATTCAATGCAGGCAATACATTCCTCTCTCAAAAACTCAATCACAGATTTCCTGGGGTCTCCCATCCTGGCTGCCTCCTCCCAAGTAAACTTAGAAACAAGATGCTTCCTGGTATCTTACTGCTTAGAAAATATTTGAGGGCATTGAAAAAGTGGATATCCTCTGCTAAGGTAAAAATGAATGAAGTTATTTAAACTCAACTCAAATGGAAAGTGCATGTACACATGCTATGAGATACTGTGTTGCTGTCCAACAAAAGAGAATCAAACAGATCATGGAACAAACTCAGTACTTTCCATACTCGGAGCTCATGCCCTCTGTCATCCTTCCTGAAGATGAAACAGCTACCTACACCTGCACTTCATGGACCAAAGATATTGTGACACCAGCTTCCATCAATGGTGCACAAGGGATAACAGAATACAGTAGAATAAAGATGTCTCAATTACAGTTTCAGTGCAAAAGAATCAAAATGGATGAGGTAATAAATTTCAGGATAATATACACCAAAAATCCCTTGTGCCTTAACATTCTGAAGGTACATTATTCTATATAAAAGATCCAATTTCTCCTTATGTCAACACCTACCTTCTCTTCGGCATGAGCCGGAGAAGTCACATGCCTGCCTCTTCAAGTAGTAAGTTTACATCTATAGTGATTTGGATACAGTTCTGAATCACAGAAAAGCCTATATCCTTGCAGCTCACTAAAGTTGAACATTTATATTTTTATGAGCTTGGTACTAAAAGTTCAAATGTTTTTTCTATTGGATAACATCATAATGCCTCTAACAGGAAACTGTAGGTAGATCAAAGCCTTTTATGTGAACCAATGTTTCTACTTTTGGATTTCTAGGGAGAAAATTAGTAGAACTGATGATGAGGAAATACTTGTATCTCCTAAATTTGATGACTAT